GTTACTATCATCCGTTTGTTAAAAACTATAGTACTATAGCCTCCCCATTAACAAATCTAACTCGACTTGACACACTATGAAGTTCTCAAAATTTTGGATCCTGATAAGCCCTTTATCGTGACCACAAACGCCAACCAATATGGCATAGGCACGGTCCTTGCACAAAAGGAGGGGCCATAGTTGAGACTGATTGAGCATAGGAGTAAAAGGATGCCATCTCAGAAACTAGTCAGGTCCACTTATGAGCGTGAGCTCTATGCCCTGTATAGAGCGCTAGTTCATTGGAGACACTATCTCCTTGGCAGATTCTTCTATGTGAGATCTGACCACGAGACCTTGCGTTAGATTAAGACACAACCGGTACTTTCCGACGCACTCAAGCGATGGATACAAGTGATAGACATGTATGACTATCAACTTGATCCTATCAACGGGGAGTACAATAAAGTAGCAGATGCACTATCACGTCGGGCAGATTATCTGGGCGCACTAGTGACTGAATTTGGCATATTTGACGATCTTACTCGATCATTGGTGGAAGCCTATCAGCAAGATCCAGTTATGCCTGAGATCATTCGTAAATTTCAAGTGAAGAACAAAGTGACTTTGGACGGATTTACAATGGTAGATGACTTGCTGTTTCTTGAGAAGGTAGGGAATAAAAGACTGCGTGTGCCAAATAGAGAGTCTTTGCGTAGATTGTTTTTACGTGAATGTCATGATGCAACTGGCCATTTCGGCTATAGGAAAACTTCAGCTAACTTAGTGCAGAAATTATGGTGGCCTTCTATGATGGAAGATGCCAAGAAGTATGTCGAAACCTGCCAGGTTTGTCAACGGGGCAAACCTAGGACTCAGGCTCCGCTTGGCCTCATCAAGCCCCTGCCGATTCCTGGAAGTCCCGGTCAGAGTGTGTCCATGGACTTCATGGATACTCTTGTGACCAGCAGGTCTGGAAAAGGGACATCTTTGTTATAGTAGACCTCTTCTCTAAGTATGCAAGACTAATCGCTATGCCTGAAACGGCAAAAACTGACTACGCCATCAAACTGTTTATGGATGACTGGGTACGGGACTTTGGTTTACCTAAGGCCATTGTTAGTGATAGGGATGTTCGCTTTACTAGCGAACTGTGGCAAAACACTGCCCAACAAATGGGAACCAGACTGCAAATGACATCAGGGAATCACCCTGAGTCAAATGGACAGGCGGAACGAATGAACATGGTAGTGCAGCAATTGCTTAGGGACTACATTAAGCCAAGCCAGGATGACTGGGACGAGTAACTACCTCTCGTCGCCAGCCTGTACAACAACGCTGTACACAACACTACTGGCATGACTCCCAACCAACTGCATCTTGGTTGGAAGCCCCGTTCCACCCTTGATTTCCTACTACCTGAGAAACAGGTCACTGCAGCACTAGGCAGCTTAGAATTTGCTGTCAAGTACGAACAGATGCTGCAGCAGGCCGTTGAGCACATGAGGAAATCTCAAGATGCTATGATTGGATCTGAGAACAAACACAGACGGCCTTCTAACTTTCAGGTAGGGGACATGGTCTGGGTAAAGTCATCTGAACTAGGACAGGATCTGGGAATATCTAGAAAACTAATGCCACAGTACTTTGGTCCCTGGGAGGTCCTAGACATAGTGGGGGATCAGGTAGACGGACCTTCTTATGTGATTGACGTCCCACCTCATCTACGTACACACCCAATTTTTCACGCATCAAAGCTGGCACCTTTCGCAGAAACTGCAGAGTTTCCTTCCAGACGGTCAATGCTGCCCCCAACCATGGATGGTGCAGTAGACATCGACAAAATTGTGGAGCATTGAGTGATGCCAGTACCTAAACCGTCGGGCGGAGGTCGTCCTCCTAAGCCAAGAATGCAATACCGTTTCAGATTCAGACATCATTTGGATCCCAGCGAAGATCGGTGGTTCACCAGAGAAGAACTCATGCGAACAGCACCTCCAGTTATTGCAGGCTATGAAAGAGAACTGAAGGGGAAGACGGCTGCAGATTAGAAGACTTCTCAGAGGACTATCGAAGAAAAGGAGGAGGGAATGAGAGGATCTGGGTCCTCGGCAGGCCTAAGGGGCCCCTTCTACAGATGTGCCCGCCCTAAATGAAGGCGGGCCTAACAAATCACGAGAGGCCCTCGGCTGTCAATTTCGTATTTGGGGGTCCAGGCAGTTTCAACGCGCCAAATGGTTGAAGGAAACACAGGCCAAGCACTAAGACATTCCACGATCTTCCAGGCCTTTCCAAAAGTGCAGTCCCTGGGCGAGAATCACAACCTCATACACAGGCAGTTGGGAGGCCCAACCTAACGGAGGCCCAGCAGCAGCATCAGAGGCACAGCCTCCTGGGGCCTACCGGAAGCTTCAAGGCGACGCCCAGGCCAGCCAGGCTGCCGAGAGAGGCAGGCTATTTCCATATAGGAAAAAGATCGCTGCCTGGCCAGGGATTCAACACTTGCATGCTGGCGGCAGCGCTGCTGGAGCGGACGCTCGTGGGCTGGTGCTGGCGCTGAGAGGCAAGGTGCTAGCGCGTGTGGTCGTGCAGGAAGTAGGGCGCTGCTGAGGGCAGCGCCACAGCCCAGCCTCCATAGCTGGATGGGCTTGGACTACAGTGAGGCGCAGGGATGGTCTTCGGGTGTACAGAGGGAAGACGTGGGAGTAAGTCAGGGGAGAGAGAGAAGGATGATGATGATGATGATGTGAGGGCACATACCTGGTATTGGCGATGGTCTGCATTGGGCGACATCTTCAAGTACTTAGTGGGCTGCTGACGTGAACAGTTGCATTGTCAATTAGTAGGCAGACTGTAGCTGTGTAGAAAGTAGGCTGGGCGCCGAGCGCCAAGTAGGGAGATAGGGCCTGGACACTCATGTTCGTGGTGGCGAGAGCAAGCTCTCATTGACATTGGTTTTCATTGTTACGATTTGCAAGGAAAATAAGCAACAGCGAGATGACAATCCCAGATCACACCATCACATTGCAAGTCAAATAGTCACACCGTGTCCAGATAGCAGCATTGCACCAATAATACACCAATGGAGTTTCGTAGCACTGAAAACCAATGTTTATGGAGAGCACACTCTCTCCTCTTCAACACAAGTATCCAGTTCCCTTACACTCACACTTGGCGCTCAGCGCCCAGCCTACTTCTACACAGCTACTATAGACTACAAGAATTGCAACTGTTGACATCAGCAGCAGCCCGAAGTACTTGAAGATGCTGCCCATGCAGACCATCGCCAATACAAGGTAYGTGYYCTCACATCATCATCATCATCATCATCGTTCACCTATCCCCTGACTTCACCCACACCTGTCCTCTCTGACACCCGAAGAACCACCCCTGCGCCTCACTCTGTCCAAGCCAAGCCCGCTATGGAGGCTGGCTATGGCGCTGCCCGCAGCAGCGCCCTGTTCCCCTACACGACCGCACGTGTGTTGCCCCTTGCTCCTCTGCCGGCAGTCAGCCTGCGAGCTCTTGCTCCAGCAGCGCTGCCGCCCAGCCTGCAAGTGACCGAGTGAGCTGGCTGGCCAGAGCTCTTTCCTTTATGGAAAAGAGCTGGCCAGCTCTCGCAGCCTGGCTGGGCTGGCCTGGGCCCAGCAGCTTCCGAAAGGCCCCAGGATGCTGTCTGGATGCAGCAGCTACTCGGCTGCTGGGCCTCGTTCGGTTGGGCGCCCAACTGTCTCTGTATGAGGCTGCGAATCACGCCCAGGGCCTGCATTCTTTGGAAAGGCCCGGTAGGCCGTGGAAATGTCTTCGGTACTCGGCCTGTGTTTCTTTCAACCAACTGGCGCGTCGCAACTGCCTGGACCCCAAATATGAAATTGACAGTCGAGGGCCTCTTGCAAAATGCCAGGCCCGCCTTCACTTAGGGCGGGTAAGGCTGCAGACAGGGCCCCGTAGGCCTACCGAGGACACTGATCCTCGCATTCCCTCCTCCTTAACTTCGTGAGTTCTCTGAGAAGTCTCTTATTCTGCAAGCATCTTCCCTTTTCGTTCTCTTTCATAGCCTGCAATCACTTGAGGCGCTGTTCTCATGAGTTCTTCCCGTGTAAACCAGCGATCTTCCTTGGGATCGAGGTGATGTGTGAAGCTCACCCGGTACTGCATTCTCGGTTTAGGAGGTCGCCCTCTGCCTGATGGTCGAGGAACAGGCATCATTTGGTGCTCGACGATCTGGTCAATGTCCACTTCGCCATCCATGGTTGGGGGCAGCATGGATCTCCGAGAGGGGAATTGGTCTGTGGCAGAAAAAGGTGCCAGCTTTGACGCATGGAAAACATGATAAGTCCGTAAGTGAGCAGGGATGCGAATCACGTATGAAGGCCCATCCGGTTGATCCCCTACAATATCTAAGATCTCCCAGGGCCCAAAGTACTGAGGCATCAATTTTCTTGAGATCCCTATTTCTTGTCCCAGTTCAGATGATTTCACCCAGACTCTCTCACCTACCTGAAAGTTAGAAGACCGTCTATGTTTGTTCTCAGATGCAATCATCGCATCTTGAGACTTCTGAATATGTTCAACGGTCTGCTGCAGCATCTGCTCATATTTGACACCAAACTCTATGCTGCCAGAAGCTGCAGTAGGTTGTCTTTCTGGTAACAGAAAGTCAAGCGCAGATCTGGGCTTCCAACCAAGATGTAGCTGGTTGGGAGTCATACCGGTGGTGCTATGCACAACATTGTTGTACAGGCTGGTGACGAGAGGTAACTTCTCGTCCCAGTCATCCTGGCTTGGCTTAATAAAATGCCTAAGCAGGTGCTTCACTACCCGGTTCATCTGTTCTGCTTGACCAATGGACTCAGGGTGATTCCCTGACGTTATCTGGAGCTTTGTGCCCATTTGCTCAGCAGTTGACTGCCACAGTTCACTTGTGAACCTGACATCCCTATCACTAACGATAGACGTAGGCAAACCGAAATCACAAACCCAATTGTCCATAAACAGTTTGATGACGTGGTCAGTTTTAACTGTTTCTGGCATAGCGATTAGTCTTGCATACTTAGTAAAACGGTCCACTATTACGAAGATGTGTCTCTTTCCAGACTTACTGGTCACAAGGGTATCCATGAAGTCCATGGACACACTTTGACCAGGACCTCCAGGAATCGGCAAGGGCTTGATGAGCCCAAGCGGAGCCTCAGTCCTTGGTTTGTCTCTTTGGCAAACCTGGCAGGTTTCAACATAACGTTTTGCATCTTCCATCATATAGGGCCACCAGAATCTCTGAACTAAGTTTGCTGTTGTCTTTTTATAGCCAAAATGACCAGTTGCATCGTGACATTCTCCTAAGAATAAACTACGCAACGGCTCACTACTTGGGACACACAATCTTCCCCGCCTTATCAAGGAACAACAAGTCGTCTACCATCGTAAATTCGTCCAAAGTCTTTTTATCCTTTGCCTTGAACCTACGAATGATCTCTGACATGACTGGGTCTCCCTGATAGGCTTCCACCAACGATCGAGTGAGGTCATTAGATATGCCAAACTCAATTACTAGCGCGCCCAAATAATCTGCCCTTCTTGATAGCGCATCAACCACTTTGTTGTACGTACACTTGATAGGATCAAGTTGAGAGTCGTACATGTCTATCACTTGAATCCATCTCTTGAGTGCGTCTGACAAGACTGGTTGTGCCTTGATCCAGCGCAAAGTCTCATGGTCAGATCTCACGTAGAAGAACCTTCCTAGGAGGTAATGTCTCCAATGAACTAGCGCTCGATACAGGGCGTAGAGCTCTCTTTCATAAGTGGACTTAGCCAACTTCTCAGATGGCATCTTCTTGCTCATATACTCGATCGGTCTCAACTTGGGCCCTTCCTGTTGCGCAAGGACCGCGCCTATGCCATATTGGCTAGCGTCTGTGGTCACAACAAACGGCTTGTCAGGATCAGGAAGTTTGAGAACTTCGTAGTGTGTCAGAGCATACTTCAATTTCTTGAAGCTTGCTTCACACTCCTCAGTCCACTTCCAAGGGGTGTCAAGTCGAGTTAGATCTGTCAGTGGGGAAGCTATAGTACTATAGTTTTTCACAAACGGACGATAATAGCCCGTAATCCCCAAAAACGAAATGACCTCAATAACAGTTTGAGGTCTGGGCCAGTCACGTATGCTGGCCACTTTCGCATCTTCCGGCCTCAATCCATCTGCTGAAATTTCATGACCCAAGTACAAGATCTTGGTGCGACGAAACTCGCATTTATCCAAGTTTACCTTGTACTGGTGCTGTCTTAGGAGACCTAGCACTATTTTCAAGTGCTCAGCGTGCTCCTCTACAGTCCTACTGAAGATGAGAATATCGTTGAGGTACACGACGATAAACTTGTCCAAGTAGTCATGAAAGATCTTATTCATCGCGTGCTGGAACGTACCAGGCGCATTGCATAGGCCAAAAGGCATCACCACAAACTCGTACAGACCGTACCTGGTCTAAAATGCAGTTTTGTGTTGGTCCTCCGGCCTAACGACAATTTGATGGTATCAGGACTTCATATCTATCTTTGTGAAGTACCGACATCCCTGCACTCTATCCAAGAGGTCGTCAATGCGGGGTAGGGGCTCCGCGTTCTTAACGGTGATGGCATTGAGGCCCCTATAGTCAATGCACATCCTTAATGGACCTCCCTTCTTAGGAACAAATAAGACTGGCACACCGTAAGGGGAGGTACTAGGCCGTATTCATCCCTTCTCTGTGAGCTCCTTGAGCTGGCGGCGAAGCTCATCTAACTTTGCAGGAGACATCCTATAGATTCGTCCTCTAGGCACCTTACTACC